ACTGCTACAGTAGTTGCATGCTACAACCATTGTACATACGCTCTGACTACCATGCCAAAAAGCATCGCTCTTTTGCACAGCAGTCAACTGCTAAATCTTGTGCAACGGTGAGTGGGTTAAAGTGCGACTAAACACCTGTGCCCAGCCTGACTCCGACCACATGAACATTTGAAAATTCTCTGTAAAAAGGGCATTGCCCGCAGGACCAGGGGACAGGAAGGGGGCTTAGATTTGGGCGTGGTCTGGGCTGTGATTGACTGCTTGCTTGTCAGCTGTCAATTCTGGATTAAAGCAAAAGTTCCATACCAGAAATTCTCATTCCATTCTTGTTTACACACTAAAGATTATCGTTTAGCTAGACCAGGACCAGGACATAAAGAGCACTATAAAAGAAACATTCATGCAGTTTATGAGTTTAAAAAAAGTTGTTTTGGTGTTTAGTTTTCCTTTAAAAGTTAGACTAGCAATTGTGTTTCATTATCATTTAAGGTAAATTATCCATAATAAAGTAGATATTTATCTTTATGTGAATTTTGGTCTTAGCATTATTGGCTCTATGCACATAGTATTCATACTTTAAAATGTTCACTAAGTATGAGTAATAAGTATGAATGTTAAAATATCAATAGTACTTCATCCCTACAAGCCTGTTTAGTGAATTCTCACTCATAAGGGGTCTTTATTAGAACATTTGTCACCATTGTTTATATCGATTATACAATGTATAGGCATTGGAGGCTGGGCAAGGTAGGCCTATGAGTTGCGCTGTTGCATTTTTCTTCAGTGTCTACATTACAAATCAGTTTGTTTTGTTGGTGGTGACAAATCTGGCCTGTTTATATAACTATTGCTATAGCCCATTGCTCCCTCTGGAAAATGAGCAGGAGACAAGTCCAACTGAGTGCGTTGTTCTGGGCTGTCCCCAGGTCTTTACCATCTAATTTCTGCATTACTGCGCATACTGAAATTTTTTTCTTTGTGGCAGAGGTTTATTATTGTTTTTACTGTACTCTTATCATTACATCTAGTTCTGCATACAGCAAATAAAAAAAATTCAACCTCTCTACCTAAAAGTTAATTTTACACAGCCCAGGTTTTAGTTTAACAAATTGGTTTGAAATAGCCATGCAACTTTCTTCATCTATTTAGACTTGGAGATATTTGCGTGACAACATGATTTGAATGTATTTATAGATATCAGCAATGTCAAAGGTGTGCTGAAATAAGTGATAACTCACCATGTAGGTCTTAACCAGGTCTTCGGGGTCTTCATTCAAGTACACGCACAGAGCCTTTAGGATGCAGAGTAGTCTTGTTTCAATGTTGGGTTTCTGTGAAAGACCAATTAAGTGTTCTCGTTATACAGTAATATTTGTGTTACATTTTCAAAAAATATATTGAGAAAAGTCAGAATGTTGGGTTAAAGCTGCACTAACTGACTTTGGGATTTTGAAGCCGCGGACTCACTGGCCTCGCTCTTTCTGCTCCCCTCCCCTCACTCACGAAGCTATCGCCCCCCAAACACATTTACTGTTGTCGACGGAGCTAGCATCTCCCAATATGGATAATACATGGACATGGATTTGCACTTGGACGGCGTGACCATAGAACGATAGAACCGGGAAGCGCAGAGGAACGAGACTTTCTTCTGGATGGCTGTGTAAGCAGTAACCGGTGACGAGGACGAAGTCTCAGATTAGCTCCGCCGCTTGTTGTGCCAACTCAGCTGCCTGTGCTAACGGACCTGTAGATTTCTCACGAAAGTGGGGACCCGAAACACATTCTCTTCCTTGCTTCATCAAAACTCGATCTAAAATATGTCACGCCAGCACAAATCTGCGCTACTTTTTCTTCAAAAGGACGTATATCCCAATGCACTACATGGACATGGATAGCATTTTCGTAATGAATACAAAAATAAAGTAAGTTAGTGCAGCTTTAATAATGCTCAGATTTTTCATGAGAATATGTTCTGTTATGTTTGTATAGAAAGTAAAACTTATTTGACTATCCAGTAAGGTTTCAATGTAAAACACACCTCTTCTAGGGCAGTGTTTTTCAACCAGTGTGCCGTGGTACATTAGTGTGCCTTGAGATGTTGTTTGGTGTGCCTTGGGAAATATTCCAATATCACATAATTGGTCAAAATAATGTGAAAAGAAAATCATGTGAGAAGATTAGAGAGACTTTTTGGGCTCGTTTCATTTTCTATTAATATCTACCTTGATTTGAATGACTTTGCTTTCATACTAAAAGCTACAAAGTTCCATGTTTGTATCAGTTTCAGCCGGTGGTGTGCCATGTGAGTGTCTTCAACCAAAAAGGTGTGCCACAGCTACAAAAAGGTTGGGAAACACTGTTCTAGGGCCACCATAATCTGTTATTTTGCGTCCTGCTGCTCCTCCTTTCTTCTTGAACACCTTCATTAGTTTGTTGGAGTATTGATCCACAGTATGTGCATGGAGACGAGTGTCTTTATCCATAATGATAATGCTTCAATTTGTAGTGTTTAAGCAACAGATACCTCGTAGATAACAGTCTCAGGGCACTCCTTGCACCTCCACATTGAAAACCTGCAAAACAGAGACTGACATTAGAAATAGTTTCAGATTCATTAACTACATTTTTATTTAAAGTAGTAGTCCCTCTACAATTCACCTACACCATACTAATCATGTTTTTGTAGTAACTGCATTAAAGTCTTTCATTTGAATACAAAAAGGTATGCAAATTGAAGACAAACCAAAATAACAAGACCCTTTAATGGAAAATGAGCATGTCCCAATCACCATGGTTTGCCTCAGATCCTGATAAGATATTTAAACTTAAAATGTTTTTAATAATTTGTATTGTAAATTCTAAAAAGTATGGAACCTTTATGTTGCTCGCGTCGTCAAGTAGAATTAAATGAATACTGAAGTTACCACATCAAACACACCCAATTTAAATAATTCTTTAAACACAGGCAAAACCAATTACGATAACAAAAATATACAACCAATACATGTTTTGTTATATTTGTAGAGAAATCGGAAGCGAAAGTCTGTCCACTTAAATAGTCCGGGTGAAAAATGGACCGTTCCGGGTTACCGTGCACGCACTGACACTGATAATCATGTAACACGGAACGGCCCGCTTATCCGTAACACACAGCTCTTCACACCTTAGTTTATAACCTTGGCATAGCCATCATTTCGAGTGAAAACGTAACAATACTGCGCATACGCCTTGTACTGATTGAATGCTAGCCAATTCAATATATTCAACAATATTTAAATAACAGCTTAACAGAATCCATGTCGAATATGAAAGTTCTGATCAATAATCATAACTATGATATGAACGTTACTTCTAACAACAGTTGAGGCGAGAAATACGACCCTTAAGGTCATTTTGGTGATTTATTTAGCGGCATAATGATAGGTTGGACTAGCGGGGAGCTCCGCATGTGGCAGAAGCTAGCGTTAGCTGTTAGCAGCTATCAGCTGCTGTGTTTGCAGCGCCATTATTGCGAAAGCATGGTCGGCAAGTCACTGTTCGACGCAACTGGAAAAAAGAGAAACTAACACTGTTTACCTTGAATGCCCGAGCTCAAATTATAATGTGTTTAGTTATAAGTAAATCATACATTACCATGGAAAACCTCCGATAGTCTAGCAATGACTATGTTCCAAAATTAACGACAAAAGACACAACCACTATTGAAAATTACACCATACCGTTTCATGCTGTATAGTCAAAGAAGCGTCTTACTTACCAAAATGACGAGAATTTTCGACCACTCGAAGTTGTGTCTTTTCAAATGGCTCTCACTCTGTTCGCGGTCAGTGGCAAGCTCTCGGTTGCAAGGGTTGCCAGATGCGGCAAGATTTTCCTGCCCAAAACCCGCGAGAATCCCAACAAAAAACCACCCAAAATGATATTTTTGCGATTAAAAAGTTATGGAATCAACTTAGAATATCAGGATACTGTTTATGGCCGTTTTATCCATTAATTAACTACAAGATACATGGAACAAAAGTATGCGAGGAACCGCCCATCTGGCAACCTTGACAACTACGCATGTCTGCGTCATTGCGTCACAGCGTCATTGCGTACATGTTTTGTTTACGTGAAAGAGTTAGGTTGGTTTTAAACATATGTACTGTTTAGCTCTGAAATCTGTTGCTTTTGTGTTATACCAATGCAATATTGTTATGTTTTCTGTAGAAACATAAGAAACACATTAATTTCACTTTAACCATTTCACATAAAGTGCACAACATCACTCTTTCACTTCTTAGAGTGTAGGCACAGGGCGCAGAAGAAGGCCATCTCAAAATATTTTGAGAGAAATTGCAGGCCCTACTGCATTTGCAAGGCATGGGATCCACGACCTAGAGAGTGCTTTCCTGTGCTTGATGGATCCCCTACTGCTCCCGCACATACGGGACTGCACCGTGGCTGAAGCGCGTCGCTCTGGGATACAGTGGGACCTCTCCATCCCTGAGCTCAAAGCTTTCATCGCGCTTTTATACGTCAGGGGAAGCTTCAACAAAGATGAGAGGGGGCTTCCATTTTTCAGAAGCACAATGCCTCGCAGGAGATATAGAGAGATAATGCGTTTCCTTCGCAGAGAGGAGAGGCAGGCCCGACTCGCAACTGATAAGTTTGCCCTCATAACGGACGTGTGGAGGGATTTTGTCACCAACTCTAATCCGGTGCTACAGGCCAGGAGATAATGTTACGGTGGATGAGCAGCTATACCCAACAAAAGCACGCTGCCGTTTCACTCAGTATATGGCCAATAAACCCGATAAATTCGGCATCAAATTTTGGATGGCGGCAGACGTCGATTCAATTTATTTTCTCAATGGGATCCCTTATCTTGGGAAAGATGCAGTGCGGCCTGCTGGGCAGTGCTTGGGGGAGAGTGTAGTGCTCAACCTCATGGAGCCATTCATGGACAAAGGCAGGGATGTCACCACTGACAATTTTTTCACCTCATTATCCCTAGCCAAATGCCTGCTGGCGAGAAACACCAGCCTCGCACCATGAATGCTACGCGCAGAGAACTCCCACCTTCAGCGAAACAGCACGCAGAGCTGCACAGCACCAAGGTGCTGAAGCATGAGCGTGCCACTCTCACTCTGTACCAGGCAAAGAGGAAGAAGTTTCTCCATCCTGAGTACTCTCCACCAGACGGTCCTTACAGGCACAGAGGGGAAGAGGAAGCCTGAGACCATCACCTTTTATAATACCACAAATGTAATTCTGCTTTTTAGCATGCACTGCATGCAGCCTCCCATCACATTGTGTTCTTGTCACAGGTTGGTGTAGACTCGCTGGACCAGATGGCTCGCGCCTCTATTCAACAAAAGGTGCGACAAGGAGGTGGCCCGTGGCAGTTTTCTGCAACATCCTGGATTTGGCTGCAATAAACGCCTGGGTCCTATACAGGCAGTGCACAGGGGCAAACATTGCGAGGCACGCCTTCATCCTCGAGCTGGCCAAAGAGCTGCGCAGGGAGCACATGCAAGCAAAAGCCGCCCCCCCTGCACCAGTGCAGAGACCGCTTCCCCCGCTTCCCCACCCACAGGTGCCAGAGAGGAGACGACAGTGCCAGATCAATGCCCACTGCAAGCAGAATAAAACCACCGTGGTCTCCAGTGGGTGCAAGCGGCCTGTATGTGGCAAATGTGTGGTCCAATTAGAACCTTGTTGCCTGAAGTGTGTGTAGACTTTGTATATAATGTAAATAGCCTCTATGTTTTAACAATATTAATGTTCTATGTTTTGTTTTCAATCAGTTCTGCGGCGTTTTAACCACTTTTGGTTGCACACATTTTCTGTAATTTGTTTTATAATCAGTTCGAGCATGTTTGATTCACTTTTGCCAGCGCAAATCTTCTTGTACATAAATATAATCACCCCTCCTAGAACTACCACCTTATCGTGGTGGAGGGGTTTGAGCACCCGAATGATCCTAGGAGCTCTGTTGTCTGGAGCTTTATGCTCCTGGTAGGGTCTCCCATGGCAAAAAGGTCCGGGGTGACGGGTCAGACCAAGAGTAGTTCATCGTTTATTTATAATAATAATAACATATATTCTATATCTGAACGTTAACCCAAAGTGCATTCACGGCACGGACAGCAGTGTGTTGTAGTGAGCACGCGTAATGCCACCCATACGCAGGTGTCTGTGTGCGCGCTGTTGCTCCATTCTGCCTTTTCATTCATCATCAATTACATTCTTTTATGTATACATACAAGAAGGCAATAAAGCAGAACACAATATCGAAATAGAACAATTAGATGAACAATCAAGGCAGGAGCGCGGATGGAGCGTTGTGAGGCCTATCGTCACCCGCGGACACGAAATCCGACATGAAATAAGGACGAATCACTAACTAGCCTGACTAAAGCAGAGCGGTATTCCACGTTGGATTTAGCCAGCAGTTATTGGCAAGTGGAGGTATAGGAGAAATACAGGGAAAAGACTGCATTCACAACCCCATTTGGTTTGTTCGAGTTTGAGAGGATGCCATTTGGGTTGTGCAATGCCCCTGCAACCTTTCAAAGGTTAATGTTCAAAGGTGGTTTGGGAGATCGGCTAACGGAATCTGCTGTGGTCTATCTGGATTTTGTTTTCCAGAGACTTCCTAGAGCATCTCCAACACCAGGAGGCAGTATTCCGCTCCCTTGGGCAGTATGGCCTTAAGCTACGCCCAGAGAAGTGCCAGCTTTTCCAGAGGAAGGTCAAGTTTCTAGGACATGTCGTCAGTAACCAGTGAGTTTCGGCAGATCCAGATAATGTTGCAGCCGTATCTGATTGGCAACCCCCTACCACAGTACGGCAAGTGCGCTCATTTCTAGGATTTGTGGGGTATTATAGACGGTTTATAAGGGACTTTTCCAAAATTGCCAAACCCCTAAATGCGCTTATAGTTGGCACGGGCCGGAATAGAGGTAGACGTTCCCCCTCCATTGAGTGGTCCAACCAATGCGAAGCTGCCTTCCAGCAGTTAAAGCAGGAATTGCTACAGGCCCCCATATTAGCGTATGCAGATTACACACTCCCGTTTGTGTTATACACAGATGCTAGTATTACAGAGCTTGGAGCCGTATTAGCTCAGGAACAAGATGTAGTCGAAAGGGTTATAGCATATGACATGTTAGTCCCATATGAACCAGCCCGGACTCTGAGGAGCACAGGGACTGGACTCCTGTTAGTGCCCAGAGTCAGAACTAAACATGGGGAGGCTGCTTTTCAGATTCATGCTGCTAAAATCTGGAACAGTCTTCCTGAAGATGTGAGACAGGCCTCCTCTCTGACAATGTTTAAAACCAGGTTAAAGACAGTTCTGTTTAACTGTGCATACAACTGAGGGATTTTATATTTTTATCTTTCTTTTTAATGTTCTGTGATAATTTATGATTGTAATGCTTTCTTGTTTTGTTCAGCACTTTGAATTGCCTTGTGTATGAATTGTGCTATATAAATAAACTTGCCTTGCCTTGCCTTATGCAAGTAGGAGTTTACATCCCGCAGACCGCAACGACTCAAACTATAGCTCTTTTAAACTTGAGCTTTTGGCGATGAAATGGGCTATAGTTGAGAAGTTCAAGGACTACTTGTGGGGGGCTAAGTTTGCTGTAGTGACAGACAACAATCCACTCGTACGCCTGCAGACTGCTAAACTAGGGGCTGTTGAACAGAGGTGGGCTGCACAGTTGGCAAATTTCTATTACACCATCAGATACCGGCCAGGCAGGGAGAAAAATAATGCTGACGTCCTTTCTAGACTGCCTGCTCCCCCAGACCGAGAATTGGCCGGAGAAGAGCGACTGGTTGGAGCAGTAGAGACAATTCCTATGGACTCCCTGCTCAACGGCTGGAGGTGGGATCCAGAGCGCTGGAGATGTCTACAAAATGAAGACCTTACAAGATTTACAAAGCATAAAGGAGCACGTTGAAAGAGGCACAATACTGTGCGCTAACGAGAGGCAATTTTTAACCCAATCTGCCAAGATCTTGTTGAGGCACTGGAGGAGGCTGGAGTCAAGAGACAGGATTCTATGTAGGATTGTTCAAGACCCCCAGACTCTAGAGACTCTTGTCCAGATTGTTGTCCCCACATTGCAGGCGCGGCCCCTATGGACTGTATATCACGAACAGATGGGGCATCCAGGATTGGAGAAGTCAGTTGTATTGGCCACAAATGGAGGACACATTGTTGCTGTTGATTTCTTGACCTTAAGTCGTCCTACAGATAGGTACCAAAATATACTTTGTCATGACTGATTTGTTCACAAAGTTTGCACGGGCAGTCCCAACCCTAGATCAAACTGCCTTGACTACAGCACAGGCCTTGTGGACTTACTTGATCCAGCCATTTGGCTGCCCTGAGGTGTTACACTCGGACCAAGGGCCTAATTTTGAGTCTCGGTTAATCCAAGAACTCTGTCAGATCTACGGGTGCATTAAGAGTAGAACGACACCCTATCACCCAATGGGGAATGGAGCCTGCGAAAGGCTCAACCAGACTCTACTGAACCTGTTGGGCACGCTTGAAGTAGAGAAACACCAGCGATGGGCGGAATACTTACCTGGACTAATTCAAGCCTATAACAACACTGTTCATGCTTCTACAGGATACGCACCAGCATTCTTGATGTTTGGCCGGCACATGAGGACCCCAGTTGACCTATTGACCGGGGGTTTTTGCACCGAAGCCCCTATGAACACTACGGACTGGGTTACTTGGCACCAAGAGCGACTGACATATGCCTATGAGAGGACATCAAGGAGCCTTCAGAATGCAGGTCAGAAAAATAAAAGACTGCATGATCGCACTGCAAGGGAGGCCCCGCTTCTACCGGGAGAGCGTGTGCTGGTGCGTGACCACAGGAGGCGACAGACTGGGAAACTGGGTGACCACTGGCAGACCAGGCCCCATGTTGTTGTAACCAGGCTTCACCCCGAACGCCCAAATTATAGAGTGCATCCTAAAGGGAGGGATGGCCCTGAATGAGTCATCCATTGCAACAACTTGAGACCATTACCTAATCACATACAACCAGAGACAGAACATGAAGGTGGCTGTACTTGTGCCACCTCACTGCCACACTGGGGATTCACGGTGCCCCTGGTAGGGGGTGTGCAAGAAGAACCGGAGCCCCCACCAGAACCATGGAGGTCCCAGAGGCCGAACATGGGGGTGCGGCCTCCAAGATTTAGGGACTAGACCTCTTGTTCCCTGTGTCAGTATGAGTGATGTTCCAGGGACTAGAACATATTAGTGGGAGAGGATGTGTCACAAGGTGGACCAAATGGGCGTGTGTGTGAGTGCGTGATGGCCGTGTGGGTGTGATTGGCTTGTGTGTGGGTTAGGGTTATTCTGTGTGTTTTATTTGATGCTTGTCCCTGAATAAGTTTAGTTGAAACTTGTGACATAGTAGTTGGACTGCGCTTGGATCGGGTCAGAACATCCTGAGACTGTGTTGCAGATTCTGCCTCGTACTTATTGTCAGTGTGAAAAAGTTACGTATTGTTCACGTGTGAGTCTGTTGTGTACAAAATACACGATGTACCTCCTGTTGTTAACGCTGTCTTTGTGCGTGGGGTTTGCGATGTTGACACTTTGCTGCTATGACGCTGGACTCCTACATAATTATTTAGCTAAAAGATTGTTGTTCCACATAACTGTGGTCCTCTGTGGTTCTTTTATATAACTGTGGTCCTCTATGGTTCCTTCTTCCAAATTATGTAGGCACGGTGAAATCAATATCGGTAGCTTATGTGAAACGAAAACGCGTTTCTCGCTTTTTGTCCTTATCCACCACCGGTTTTCAAGATGGCGCATTTACACGGATAGTCCTCCTCTCTCAAGGACACTTATAAGTTAAATTCTAAGCCTATGAATACAATTTAAAAAACATGGTGGAGGTAAATATTCTTAAAAAGGTCACATTTGTTATTAGTTAACATGTTTTTTCACATGGAGCAGCTGTAAAAATTACACAGGGTGGCTTTAACCATTGTTCACAATAAAATTGTTACTCCTTTTGAAGTGTTGCATGTTAAAGCTGCACTGACTGACTTTATTTTTGAAGAAAAAGTAGCGCAGATTTGTGCTGGCGTGACATTATATTTTAGATCAGGTTTTAGTTTAGTTTAGTTTAGTTTATTTATTTAAGATGACAAGGACAGTGCACAATAAACATTAACCTCAAAAGGAGAGATGCATTTTACCAGGTTATAGCTCAAGAGCTAATTTCCACCTGTAGTCCCTGGGCAGGCTGATGTTATATCACATTAAAAAATAACACATTCATGGATGTAGTTTACATTTGGCCAAAATACAAGTCTTTACATGCACAATTTGTTTAAAACTCACATTCATATCACTCATTTATACTGGTCAAACACCCCCCCCCCAAATCAAAACAGAGAGGGAGAGAATGTGTTTCGGTTCTCTGATTGTGACCAATCGCAGCGCAGCACCAGCCCCCACTTTTGTGAGAAATCATCAGGTCCGTTAGCATAGACAGCTGAGTTAGCACAACAAGCGGAGGGGCTAACCTGAAGCTTTCTCGTCTTCGTCACCGGTTCCTGCGTACACAGCGAGACAGCCATCCAAAAGAAAGTCTCGTTCCTCCGCGCTTCCCGGTTCTATTGTTCTATGGTCACGCCATCCACGTGCAAATCCATATCCATGTATTATGTATTATCCATATT